ATATATATATATATATATATATATATATATATATATATATATATATATATATATATATATCTTTTTTTTAATTATTCTATTTTTTATAACTACACCTCCTAATATTAGAAATAATGAGTCATGCAATTAAAGAAGAATTTCGTTATTGAATGTGGTTATAAACTTATTATGTTTCCTAATCTTAAGTTGTAGTGGAACTTACTATTATTATGTTGGAATTTGGCATATGTTAGACTATTTTTTTTTTAGATTTTGAAATTGTGTTATATTCATGGTTCCAATTTACTTGTTTTAGTAGTATAGGCTAACATTGCATGTTGTTCATTTTTTAGTTAGAATTGATAGATTAGTTTTGTCAAACATTTGAATAATGTTATGACATTATATTTATAAATATTATTTTATTTTATCAAACATGAATTCCATGATATTCTTACAAAACGTATATTTTTAGTTTTTGTAAGTATCTAAATTAAATATTATTAATTTTAATATATATATATATATATATATATATATATATATATATATATATTATTTTTACAATATTACTTATAAATATATCATTACTAATTAATGTATATTCGCGAAAAAAATATACATCTTAAATACCAAATATAATATCATTTATACTTATAAAAATTTATAGGCATATATTTATTATATTAACTTTTAAGTTTTGATAATTACTTCATTTAAAATTTAATATAACTCCGTAATTACACTTGTGCAACCAAACAGTAAACATGTAATTACACTATGACGAACAAACATGTCGTCGTAAGTACATAACTATGTAATTACTAGGTTGTATAATTACTAGCCTAATAATTACACCAAATTCAGTTACATGGTGACTTTCCAAACAGTCCCTTAATGGACTACTTGTCCCAAAAGAAGAAGAAAAGCAAGATCTTAAACATGTGCAAATTTAATTCTGAAATAAAGATGTAGGGTTAGGGCATGTTGTTATTAATGTCCTTTCATATTTTAATTTCATTCAAAAGGTCACTTGAACAAAGTGATTTTGTAATTAGACATTGCTAGTTTTAAAAGATACTCATTGAACCCAAATATAATCATTCATAGTCAGACTTGCGTAAGTCTCATAGCGAGTTTAAGGTGTAATGAGCATTGAGCAGAATTAGGGTAAAAACTTATCTGTATCATGAATTTAAACCAATCCAATATATAGATGCATGGCATGCATTTAGTACAGGGCTTCAAGTACTTGACTATGGTGAATTATATGTATTCTCTGTTGGAATTATTCATAATGCAAAGTCAAAAAATTTCTTTTTGAAATTCCATTTGCAATCAATAGTCACGAGTTTTTTTATTTATTTCCAAGTGGCCTCTTGCATGAAGCCTTATAGCCAAGTGTTAAATGACTTGGGCAAGTGGCTATGCAAATCTACCATGTGTCTTCATGCATGGAAGATTAGGTACACTTGTTAATATTGAAGACAAGTGGACTATATATTTGGACAAGTGTTAAAAGACTCTCCACACTTGTCATATGTACAACCTCCCTAATTGCCTATAAATAAGATGATCATTAGCCATCATATTCACTCAATTCTTAACCAAGAATTCATCTAGCTAACCATTACTTTCTTCCTAGTCTTCTTTGTGAATTATCCAACACATAAAATACTTTCATCTTCTCTTCTTTCTGGGCTACTGTTTTGTGCAAATTCTAAACTTCCAATCATGAGTGCACGTGTTTGGAGGTGCTGTGGAACCTTGGGGAGTGACCGGTCTTAACGATTTGCACCTAGTCGGGCTGAAATCGCTTTCAAGGCAGTGGCTTGCCACGACACAATATTTTTGATAAGTTGTTCTTCTTTCCGTCTTGTTCTTAGTCAATACTATCTACTCATTTTCCTTACAATTTGAAAGCGATTTCGCATATAATATTGACTAATGGCCACCACTTTGAACAAAACACTTCCTGATCTCTCAAAGCTTGAACCTTTAGATGGAAATAATTATAAGCGTTGGTCCCAGAAACTTTTAATTTTCTTTGAACAATTAGAAGTTGATTATGTTTTGTTTAACAATCCTCCTGCTGATATTGTTGCTAATAATTCTGATGCTGTTAATATTGTTGTTGCTGATGATGCTAAGAAGAAATTTGAAAAGGATAATAAAACAGTAAGAGGGCATCTGCTTAACCACATGACTAACCCTCTCTTTGATTTGTTTATAAATTATAAATCTGCTAAAGTCATATGGGACAGTTTGGAGAAGAAATATGGTGCTGATGACGCGGGAAAAAAGAAGTATGTCGTTGGAAAGTGGATCAAGTTTCAAATGGTTGATGATAAGCCAATTATGGAACAGGTTCACGAGTATGAGAACTTGACTGCTGATGATTTGAACGAGGGCATGGAGATGTGTGAGATTCTTCAGGCTAATATTTTGCTTGAAAAATTTTCACCTTCCTGGAGTGATTACAAGAATCAACCAAAACACAAGAAGAAAAACTTAACTCTTCAAGAACTAATCAGTCACATGATGACTGAGGAAGCAAACCATCTCAAAGATGAGGAGTCTGAACGGCTTAAGGATAAGATGGAATCTCTCTCTCTTAATTCTTCTAAAGCTAACCTTGTGGAATCTTCTAGTACTTTTGTGAAAGACAGGTTTAAAGGAAAACAGAAGAAAGGCCAGAAGAAAGGATATGTGAAGAAGCAGAATTACTTAAATAAGCCGGAGGGCCATATTCAAAAATCGAAAGGACCTTGCTATGTCTGCGGCAAAATTGGTCACAAGGCTTTTCAGTGCAACCAGAGACAAGGACAAAGCTAAAAGAATGGAGGAAAAGCTCCAGTCCAAGCCAACCTTACTGAGGGTGGTGATGTCATTGCTGTTGTGGTTGTTCAGGCAAACATGGTGGCTAACAAGACTAACTGGATACTGGACACAGGCGCTTCAAGCATCTTTGCGCCAACAAAGAGCTGTTTCACGACTTTAAGGAATCTGCTAATGGCGAGTGTGTCTACATGGGTAACTCCACTATAGCTGGAGTTATGGGTAAAGAAAAACTCTTCTTAAATTAACTTCTGGAAAAACTTTAGCTTTGAACAATGTTCTCTATGTACTCTCCCTTCGTAGAAACTTAATTTCTGGTGCGCTTCTCAACAAGGTAGGTCTCAAACTTGTTTTTGAATTTGATAAAGTTGTTATTTCTCGTGGGGAGACTTTGTTGGGAAGGGTTACCTTAGTGGGGGTTTATTTGTGCTGAACATCGCTCAAGAGATTACTAATAATACTAGTACGTTCAATTCTGCTTATATTGCTGAGTCTATTGATTTGTGGCATGGTAGACTAGGTCATGTTAATATTGCTTCTATTAAAAGACTTAGAAAAATGGAATTAATTCCTGCAGTTAATGTTGATAATTTTTCTAAGTGTCCAGTTTGTGTAGAAGCAAAATATACCAAAAAGCCCTTTAAGAATGTAACTAGCAGAAAAATAGAATTGCTTGAACTAGTACATTCAGACTTAGCAGATTTCAAGAACACTGTTAGTAAAGGTGGAAAGAAATACTACATCACCTTTGTAGATGACTTTTCTAGATACACTAAGGTATATCTTCTTAAGTCAAAAGATGAGGCTGAAAGCATGTTTTTAAAATACAAGGCAGAAGTAGAGAATCAATTAGACAGAAAAATCAAGAGACTTAGGTCTGACAGGGGTGGTAAATATAGTACTAATACTCTAGAAGCCTTTGTGAGAAAAATGGTATTATACATGAGATTAGTGCTCCCTATACTCCCAACCAAAACTAGGTGTAGCCGAACGGAAAATAAGAACCTTAACGGAAATGATGAATTCTATGCTTTGTAGTTCGGGTTTAGTTCTGATAACATATGGGGGGGGGGGGGGGAAGCTGTTTTATCTGCATGTTATGTTCTTAATAAAGTCCCTCATAAGAAGTTAGATAAAACTCCATATGAGTTATGGAAAGGGTTTGCCCCTAACTTAAAATTTTTGAAAGTGTGGGGATGTTTGGCTAAGGTTGGTCTACCTGATTTTAAACAAGTAACTGTTGGACCCAAAACTTTTGATGCTATTTCATTGGTTATGCTCAAAATAGTGTTGCATATAGATTTATGTCTTTGAATGATAGTTTTATTTGTGAATTCCAGAGATGCAGAATTTTTTGAAATATTTTCCATTGAAAAATAATGTGCCTAGTGATGTGCCGAATAATGCTTCTACATCTATGTCTATTAACTCTCATATTGTACCTTCTTCTAGTGTTACTACTAATGATCATGAAAATAAACTTAGAAGAAGTAAGAGGCATAGAATTGAAGCTAGCTTTGGTCCTGGCTTTATTATCACTTTCTTGACTGAAAATTTTGATCTTGATATTTTGAGTGATGGATTAGTGTCAATCTATTTAATAGAAGAAGACCCTAAGACATACAATGAATCAATGAGGTCAATAGATTCTAATTTTCGGAAAGAGGCCATTAAAAGTGAATTAGACTCCATAGTTTCTAATCACACTTGGGACTTGTCTGATTTGCCTAAAGGTTGTAAAGCCATAAGTAGCAAGTGGATATTTAAGAAGAAATTGAGACCTGATGGTACAATTGAGAAATATAAGGCTAGACTTGTTATTAGGGATTTTAACCAAAAGAAAGACTTTGCTTACTTTGACATTTATTCTCTTGTGACTAAGATAGAGACTATTAGAACTCTTGTTGCTTTAGCTGCTATTCATAATTTAGTGATACATCAAATGGATGTTAAAACGGCTTTCCTAAATGGTGATTTAGAGGAAGAGATCTATATGTCTCAACCTGAGGGATTTATGATCCAAGGATAGGAGAATAAAGTATGCAAATTGAGAAAGTCTTTGTATGGTCTAAAGCAGGCACCTAAGCAATGGTATGAAAAGTTTAATAGCACATTAGTGGATAATGATTTTGTTGTTAATGCATCTAATACTTGTGTTTATTCCAAGATGATAGGATCAGATTGTGTTATTATATGTTTGTATGTGGATGACATATTAATCTTTGGCCCTAATGTGAATGTCATTAATGAGACTAAGAATTTTTTGTCTTCTAAATTTGAAATGAAAGATCTTGGAGAAGCAGATGTGATTTTAGGGGTTAAAACCAAAAGAACTTCTAATGGTTTTTCATTATCTCAGTCTCATTATATTGAGAAAATATTGAAAAAGTTTAATTGTTTTGATGTAGCACCTGTGAGAACTCCTTATGATCCTAGCATACACTTGAAAAAGAACAAGGAATCTAGTATTTCTCAAATTGAGTATGCTAAGATAATTGGTAGTGCAATATTTCTCATGAATTATACACGACCTGATATTGCTTATGCTGTTAGTAGATTGAGTAGATATACTCACAACCCTAGTAGTGAATACTGGAATGCTCTTCATCGTTTGCTAAGATATTTGAGAGGTACTATGGATTGGTGTTTGTATTTTAATAAATTTCATGCTGTTTTAGAAGGATTTTGTGATGCAAATTGGGTTACTGACAATGATGAAGTTAGCTCCACTAGTGGCTATGTGTTCACTTTAGGTGCATGTGCTATTTCATGGAAGTCTTCAAAACAGACTTGTATAGCACGATCTACTATGGAGTTTGAATTCATTGCTCTTGAGTTGGAAGGGCAAGAAGCCGAGTGGTTGAGAAACTTATTGGTAGACGTGCCTTTGTGGGGAAGACAAGCTTCTCCAGTTTCTCTGCATTGTGACTCACAGGCGGCAATTGGAATTGCCAAAAATAGTGAGTACAATGGAAAAAGAAGACATATCCGCATTAGGCATGGTGCGGTAAAACAATTGTTGAAATATGGTGTTATTTCCTTGGAATATGTAAGATCCGAAAGAAATTTGGCGGATCCTTTAACCAAGGGTTTGGCAAGGAGAGTTATCCTTGAAACGTCGAGGGGGATGGGGCTAAAGCCCATGGATTTAGGAAGTATGGTGGATATCCGTTTGTTGTCAAACGAAGCCATATGAGACCTCAATATGCACTACATTTCCTATCCCTATGGCGTGTGGTAGTGCTTTATAAGGTTGAGCTTATTTTTCTCTTAATGATTCCATAGCCTTAAGGTAGTCTATGTGTAGATAGACTTGATGGAATCACCTACGTGAGTGTAAAGGTGCGGTCGCCTTTTATGAAAGACTTGGGATATCTTTCTAGAGCACTCATGAGACCCAAGGTATGTGCATGACCATAAAAGCACTTTGTTAGTATCGCAGAGTTTGCATAAAATTAAGGATATAGTATGTGTTGTGGGGGTCTCAACTAATGTCCATTCAGTTCACGAGTACTTCACTTTGTGGATGTTAGTTGTTGCCTCATTTCACTATGTGTCAATTCAAATCGAAAGATATTGACACTTAAGTACATGTTCCTTCTTTTGCCCAGAATTGTTCTATTTTTGTCTTTGCATTAGTGGGGGTTGTTGGAATTATTCATAATGCAAAGTCAAAAATTCTTTTTGAAATTCTATTTACAACCAATAGCCATGAGTTTTTTATTTATTTCCAAGTGGCTTCTTGCATGAAGCCTTAAAGCCAAGTGTTGAATGACTTGGGCAAGTGGCTATGCAAATCTACCATGTGTCTTCATGCATGGAAGATTAGGTACACTTGTTAATATTGAAGACAAATGGACTATATATTTGGACAAGTGACTCTCCACACTTGTCATACATGCAGCCTCCCTAATTGCCTATAAATAAGATGATCATTAGCCATCATATTCACTCAATTCTTAACCAAGAATTCATCTAGCTAACCATTACTTTCTTCTTAGTCTTCTTTGTGAATTATCCAACACATAAGATACCTTTATCTTCTCTTCTTTCTGGGCAACTGTTTTGTGCAAATTCTAAACTTCCAGCCACGAGTGCACGTGTTTGGAGGTGCTGTGGAACCTTGGGGAGCTACCGGTCTTAACGATTTGCACCTAGTTGGGCCGAAATCGCTTTCAAGGCAGTGGCTTGCCACGACACGGTATTTTTGATAAGTTGTTCTTCTTTCCTTCTTGTTCTTAGTCAATATTATCTACTCATTTTCCTTACACTAATTACTGCTTTTGATTACAAAATTACTGCTCAAGTTACCTGACCCAGTACAAGTGAGCATGAATGCTTAAACTCAAAAAGGCGTACCATTTACAAAAATATGCAGTTATTTACAGATACTAGCACTTGTTGAGGCATACACAACAGGAGCTTAGGAAAATGTAAGAAAATGCAGAACCAAATGCCACTACGCAATTCTAGTGCTACCATGACACAGATATTATTAACTTAGACGCCAATGAATGCCCGGCACTGATTATCCCAATGCTCCTTAACAAGCCGAACCCTTTCTACTCTCTCGGTCTGAAGGCGCTCTTTCCAATACTCAGGGCAACTGTTCGAAAAAGTGGAATTGTATTAGAACTAACAGAAGCAATAAGAACGCACCAGATAAACTCCTTCAGAGTTGATAAAACTAAATGGACCATGCGTTACAGAAGAAAGATACCTTCTGCTCAATAGAATGTTAAGCTCTTCTAGACGCACAGCACCTTCATAAACTCGTTCCTGATTCACATAACAAAAAATATGAGACAAATGTTATGTTAAAAAGCACAAAACATTTACACATAATACCAGTACAAGCCAATCATAATTGGAGAAGAAATAAGCCAGTGCAGAAGCTAGAAAACAGAGAGGTCAACTATAAATAAACAAATATTATTGACCGTTAATTTCTTTTGCAACTTATGTCTATCACTAAAACAATGTACCCAAATTTCTTAATAACATTAATCTTTGTATTATTAATCAGATTTTGCAAAGCAGATGCATCTTCTTCATGTTCCCCACGGGTTCATAAATCCACGTGAAATCCTTGTCCTTGTTTCAGGGGGTGGATTGGCAAACTGCTATACTGTAACCAGAGGAAACAAGTCAAGGGGAATATTTTGATTTTAAATAACTTGTTTATCCTCTCTGACACGACAGTACCATTCAGTTAAACATAGGCAATTTATGTTTAATGAAATTGGTGCTCTAAAACCATATAATTCACAAAATAAGACTTTGCTTGATGTTTTTGAATAAAGAACAAATGTTTAACAAACCTCTCGGCAGAGAGGGCATTTTTCCTTAGGATTTGCCGCCTGCAGTCCATCCACTATGGTCACGGATGCACCTTTGCAAGCACAGATATAGCAGAAGATATGGCCACAAGTGAGAGATACTGGGTCAAACACGGTATCCTGCATAAAAAGGCGTATTTAAAGCACTGTTTCATAGACGATACAAACTTTCAAAGTTAATCACTGCTTTTAATTATCCTGCGTGTCACTATATGGATGACAAATGATAAAATCTAATTGAAAGTTTCTGCATAGACACTAGGATAGAAGGCAACAACATTTTTACTTGAAGAGCATGTGCTCTGTTGAAACTTACAGAGATAACGACCTTTTAGCTTAATAACACTAACAATAGATGACACCAACAGAATTTGAAGCCAAAAGAACACGAATGAGCTCTTTGCTCTGATTTCTATTCTAAAAGCTCCATGCACACCGCCTTACGACTGCGAGGGTGACTGTATCTGATGAACAATTAGGTGGATATGTTCGTTGTGATAAACAAAGAACCAAAATGAGAAATGGTTTCGATGGTTAATAATACCAGATGTCTTAACTTGAAGCCAAGATTGAGATGGTTTCTGTTAATCTAGACTAACAGTTTATGTTGTTTTATATATAACTAATGATGTTTCGTAATAAAATGGTAGAAGAGGTACAATGCTAATTTTCTTATTATGTTTTCGAATATGATCTGGGATGTTAGCTTTACTCTATCTAATGTTTTCCTAAATTCGATAACATTACATCATTCATTTTTTCATATGTTTAGTTTTGCTTTATGACCAGAATAATTTATACTGTAGTTGTTTTTCTGATATCTTAAACTTTTCAGGAATTTAGGGTTGGTAATTCTTTACACAGGACTTTATAATTGGATTGTTGAGCAACTAAAATAAAATTAAGATAAAGCTTTCAAAAACTTGCTTTTCGTTGTCTGTTGTTACATGAATTTATATCATTTCAATGTAAGTAAAACTGCCCCTCCAGTTTTCTTCTTTCCTTTTCTCACCAATGGTCAATTACACATCCATAGATAGAGGCAGAAATATTGATAATAGATGTCCTAGTCATGTGAACTGTTACGCGGCGCCTTCCTGAGATTCCTTGGAAGGGCGACGTAAGAATAGGCAACTGATGTCAGTGCAGTTGCTGTCCGCCAACTGAGGTCCCCTCCGTACGCTAGACGAGATTGTCAGTGCCGTACGGGAAAATCAATGTCAAGAGCAATTGAGAGAACAGAAATGAGAATTCAGAATGAAAGAAAGCTTGATTGCATTAATGAAAGCTATTACAGAAAAGCAACGCGGTGTCGAGGGGGAGAAACACCAGTACAGAGAATTGCTTGCTTGCTAGAAAGTTTTGATTGCTTGATCCCCCCTAATAATACTTAAAAAAAATAATTCAAAGCTACAGGACTAGACTTGACTAAGCTAGAGAAACGTAATGGAAGTACATGAAATAAAACTACTCTATATTTACAATGAAAATGACTTAGTTTTCTATAAGGCAGCAGCAGGTCCGTTGTCAGCAGCAGTGTCTTTGGCATCACGGTCTGCGCGCGCGGCGTTGTCTGCGCGCACGGCGCTGTTGACTTCTGCCTGCGGCTTGGCGCTGGCGAGGGATATCGATGGGGCGACAGAGGCACCTGCGCGCTTGTCACTTGGCGCGGCCAAGACCACGGGGCCGTCCGTGGCGCTAGGCATTGGGAGGCTTGCTAGGACGCCACGGGGCGCGCCCAAGGGGTCATGGGGCATGGCTGGAAAGCCGCCCATGACATTCTCCCCCACCTGAGTTGGCGACGTCCTCGGCGCCTTACTTGCAAAATAATCTTCAATGAGGCTCTTGTAGGCTTTGAGGTTTGTTCCCCTCTCCCAAGTATTCTCTTCTGCATCACAGCCCTGCCATTTCATCAAAAACTCTTGGTGATCTTTCCTTGAGGCATGAATCACTCTATCATCAAGGATAGCTTCAACACGCCTTTTTTCGGTTGAATTGGGACCTCGAATACTGGGTATTGTGAGCTGGCTCCTTGAAGGATCCTCCGTGTCTTCCCGAAAAGGTTTCAGGAGACTGACATGGAAGACAGGATGAATTTTCCTCCAAGCTGGGGTATCCACCCGGTATGCAACTTTCCCAATGCGCCTTTCAATGGACAAGGGTCCAATGTATTTTTGCAATAGGAGAGGGTCATGGACCCCTAAAAATAAGTACCGCTTTGTAATTTTGACCATCACTTTGTCTCCTACTTGATATTCAACAAAGCGACGATTCTGATCAGCATGCCTCTTCATCCGCTTTTGGGCTTTAACAAGATAGCTCCGCACTATCTCCAAATTTCGCTTCCACTCTTTTGAGAAGCTGGCAGCTCGAGGAGATTTAGCCATGTTTGGTGCATTCACAGTGTGTGGGAGTAGCGGTTGCTGTCCGGTAACAATTTCAAAAGCGCTTTTGTTGGTACTAGAGCTCTTTTGTGAATTGAAACACAGTTGAGCAGCATCCAGAAGCTTCACCCAATTCTTCTGCGATCCGGTTACAAAGTGGCGGAGGTATTCCTCCAACATACCATTGAACCGCTCCGTCTGGCCATCAGATTGCGGATGAAAACTTGAGCTGTGACTCAATTTTGACCCAAGGCACTTGAAGAGTTGGGTCCAAAAGTTGCTAGTGAAGCGTGAGTCGCGGTCACTAACAATGTCTTTGGGCAGGCCCCAATATTTGACGACATGAGAGAAGAAGAGTCGAGCTGTATCTTCTGCTGATATATATTGTGGGGCTGCAATAAAGGTGGCATACTTGGAAAACCGGTCCACCACAACCAAGATGGTTGTGAGATCTCCGACCTTGGGCAATCCGGTGATGAAATCCAGGGAAACGCTTCCCAAGGTCTCTTTGGGACAGCGAGTGGTTCCAAGAGTCCCGCTTGTGTCAAGCGGTCCGACTTGTCCTTCTGGCATACTAGACAAGTCTTCACATACTGAGCAACATCATCGGCCATTTGAGGCCAATAATAGGCATGACGAAGTAACGCCATGGTGCGTTCTTCACCGGGATGGCCGGCCCACAGAGTATCATGACATTCCGCTAGAAGAGTCCTCTGCAAATCTCCTCCTTTAGGAACATAAAGTCGGTTCCATTTTACTTTCAGAAAACCATCTTCCATGTAGAACTGGCGAGTCTTGCCCTGTCCTACCAAATCAACCAAATACTGAGCAGCAGGATCCTTGATGAGTAGATCCCGTATTTGGTCCTTGATGGATGTGGCTACTTCGCTCCCCCCTTAGGGTGGCGAGTAGGCACACCGATGCTAGATCAGCTCTCCGACTGAGCGCATCAGCAACATGATTGGTCTTTCCACTGCGATACTCCAAGTTGAAGTGGAATTCAGCTAGGAGTTCCTGCCACCTGGCATGTCGACCGTTCAGCTTCGGCTGGGTCATGAAATGGCTAACAGCTGTGTTGTCTGTCTTGACCACGAACGGGGTTCCCAGCAGATAGTGCCTCCAGAGGCGCAAGCGGTGGACGACAGCCAATAATTCTTTCTCATGGGCGGCATAGCGCCGCTCTGCATCCTTCAGCTTCCGACTCTCGTACGCTACAGGGTGCCCTTCTTGTAGCAAGACTCCGCCGAGGGCATAGTCAGATGCATCTGTTTGTACCTCGAACGGCTTGGCCAAATCAGGAAGGGCCAAGACGGGGCTACTAGACATAGCCGCTTTTAATGCGTTGAAGGCCTCTGCTCTCCTTGGTCCCCAATCCCAAGGTGTGACCTTCTTGAGGAGTTCTGTCAATGGCACTGCGATAAGTGAGTAGTTCTTCACAAACCGCCGGTAGAAGTTGCATAGGCCAAGGAACGCCCTCAAGGCGTGGACATCCTTAGGCGGCGGCCAATCTGTAATGGCCTAGATTTTCTGTTGGTCCATCTTGATGCGTCCTTCCTCGATGACATGTCCGAGGAAATCAATTTGCTTCTGAGCAAAGGAGCACTTGGATAACTTTGCATATAGTTCGTGCTCCCGCAATCGAGCTAGGACCTTCCGCAAGTGTACTAGGTGTTCTTCCAATGTCTGGCTATATACCACAATGTCATCTAAGTAGACCACCACAAATTCGTCGATGTACTCTCGGAAGACTTGGTTCATGAGAGTGCAAAACGTAGCAGGGGCGTTGGTCAGGCCGAACGGCATGACCAGGAAGTCGTACGACCCATATCTTGTCACACAGGTCGTCTTGTGTTCATCACCCTCTGCAATACGAACTTTCCAATAACCTGTGTTCAGATCTATCTTGGTGAACACCAAATCTATCCAAGCAGCAGCCTTTCAAACGAGCTTCATTTTTTAATAGAAATTCCAAACGAGAAGAAGAGAGTGAATATCTATGTATTTTGCTTTTTAAACAACGATAAAAATCATATCAAGAAAGAACACTCAATACATTTATATCTCTCCGAATCTGACAAAAGAAGAAACCGTATCAAAAGAAGAAAAAATCAGAATAAACTTTCCAGGCCTTCCCCCTTTTTTCTTTCCAGATTTTTTACATGCTCCCTTATATATCCAACCTCCGGATTCAGAAAATAAGAAGAATTTGTATATATGTTTCTCTTAAACTTTGAAAGAACTCGTCAAAGAAGAAAATAAACTCAGAAAAAATCCTTAGTTCCCAGAAACCCTTCAGCTTTTCTCTGAATTTTTAGCCGAGTCCGCCAAAAAATCTCCTTCTCTGAACCAAAAACCTNCCAGGAACGTAGGTTCATTCCTTTTGACCCCCTTCTTCAACTGCAAGGCCGAGATGTTCTCAACGGCCATCTTCATGGGCAGGCACGGGATAATGCAGCGCTTGGCCCTATTGGTACCCATCATCAGTAGCATGTCTGCAAATGGTACAGGCATGGTGTTGGTTTGCCTTAGGAATTCCAGCCCAACAATCAACTCGAAGTCATCTATGATCACCACTCGCAGGTTGAATTTTCCTTCGTAAGGCCCAAGCTTCACCGGTACTTCTTTAGCTATTCCACCCACTGGCTGGGGAGGTGAGTTGATAGCCTTGACGCTACCTTTACCTTTCCCTACAACTAGTCCAAGGCGCTCCACCTGAGTCGAGGCTAAGTAGTTGTGGGTAGCACCCGTGTCTATCATAGCCCGAATGGGCTTGCCATTCACCTTCATCTCGACGAACATTAAGGTCCTCTCTTGTTTAAGAGGAGTCTCTTCATTCGCCTTCTTTTTCCCTTTCCTGGTGACGGGACATGGGTCCTTCTTCTTACGAATACCAGCACTGGTCTCCGCTAGTGCCTCAGAAATGGAACCCACAATTGCATTGAAGGCACCTACTGGTTCAGTCTGGTCCGCATCGTCTGAGTCGTCATCAGTCCCATCATCAATAGCCTGATGGGCATTCATCTGTGCATGTGGGCACTCATTGTTCCAATGTGGACCGCCGCAATGACGGCATCCTGAAGGAGGCTTTCTCGCCCGATCATTGTTGTTTGA